CAATCTGTGTATTGAAAGGTGACATTCACTGGTGTGTCTTTTGTACAATCTGTGTATTCAAAGGTGTCATTCACTTGTGTGACTGTCGTACAATCTATGTATTGAAAGGTGTCATTCACTGGTGTGTCTTTTGTACAATCTGTGTATTCAAAGGTGTCATTCACTTCTGTGTCTGTTGTACAATCTGTGTATTCAAAGGTGTCATTCACTGGTGTGTCTTTTGTACAATCTGTGTATTCAAAGGTGGCATTCACTTCTGTGTCTGTTGTACAATCTATGTATTCAAGGGTGTCATTTAATTGTGTGAGTTTTGTACAATCTTTGTATTGTTAAGATGCAGTTGTTAGTATGATATGTGTACAACACAGGCACAAGAAAGCAAGCAGAAAATGGAAATCATCAGCATCCAATCCGTTTCCAATTTACTATCACCAGTTTCGAATTGATATTTAACCAGCTTCGATGTTCATTTTAATTTTACATAGATGAACTTCGACATTTCTATCATGTCACTCATATATGGGATTATCAGCATTGGGCCGGAATGTCAGTTCTACCGTACACAATGTACATTGTCGTCGCCATCTTGACATGTCCCCTCCGGACCACGAACATGACAGTAATAATATATATGAAGTAGTGTGATGAACATTTGTTTACTACTTCCGATGATCTGTGACATGTAAATAAGGATTATAGCAAAGCAAATATTCTTGCATGAGTCGGTGACTTTTGTGGATGTTTTCTCAAATTATTATGATTGATAATTTTATTGTTTTATCAAGATTGACAGAGCCTTTGTTGATTGGCTGCTCTAGATGAAGATTTATGGTAATTTTGGGCAGATAGCTTCCAATGTAGTAGTCTTTCTCTACACAATATATTCATACGCTTTCAAACGTTAACAAATCATGATAGATTCCGACTCTTCCAAGCGAACACAAATCATAACGAATTTAGACACTTTCGGTAGTGTATATCCAGATGTACACGTCAACATCAATTTACTTGTAGTTGTCATTTAAAATGAGATTTTATGAAATAAGTCGTGGATGTTTTTTTTTTTAAGAGACTTGGCGAACAAAAATATAAACTTCGAGACGAGCTTCATATGATCTCATATAAAATGAAAACAAACGTAAAATTATTTTTATCTCATAATTCAGAAACGTTACATTTTAACATGTTTTAATATAAGTTTTTGGAGAAGAAAATCAAACAGGGGCAGCCGTTTTCATACGCCATTGTCATTCATGACGTAACGTCATTGTACATATTCTAACACCACAGTCGATTCTGTCAATGAAAAACACCTAAGGACATATTACACTAGTGATATATGCAAATTAGATGACATGGGCATTTTCAGTGGATAACAGGTCGATTATGAGACAAACAATGTACCGGACTGAAAAATGTCAACGTATGTCTCGTTTCACCAGGAATATAACGATGACGTCAACATCATATGCTTTATTTCGTATGTGATATCATTTTGTTCTTATCACTTATCCAAACAAGCGGTTTCGATAATGTCAATCTTTAAAGGCATCACTTATCTAAACTATCGTGATAATTTCACTAATTTGACACATAGCATCAATATTTCATTTAAAGGTCAAAGGGTTATAATATTAGTTTTATCAATATATGAAATACAAAATAAATTAATTCCTGATATTGTGATCGAACGTGTGATAAAATATTCAATGTTTCCACCTACATTAGCAACAATATTTATTTATTTATTTATTTATTTGTCTCATTTTATCTTTGTATTCATTTTATCTATTTTTATTTAATTCAACTTGATTTCATTTCATTATATATATCATATGAATGTGGAATTTCAGATAGCTAGAAATTTTATCTCTTATTTATTTTCGTATCTTTTATTGACTGACTCATTTTGAAAGATATATTTTATTTTTCCTAAGAAATCTCAAGATAGCTGGCCAATATAATGGGCGTGCCTTAACTCCAACACCAGTAAACGAGTCTTGTTAAAAACATCTTACATTCAACGACCCAATATTGACTTAAAACGTTTGGTTTGTAAGGGAGTCGTGAGGTAATTAATTCAGGCTTTGTGTGTCAATGTTTGCTAATGTTTGCAGATAGTTCTTCTCATGCACCTTTACAAATTACCTGCCTCTGTAAGGCTTGTTGGTCTAAGAGAATAGGGGCGACATCAAATTCTTACTCTTCGTGTTACCGGTTCCCATGGAAACCTTTTCAAAATGTGAATGAGAACAAAGAATACCTTAACCTCAATGCTCTGTACAGAGAGAGGGGATGTTTTAATGGACGTTGTGTAGTGTCTTTTTATCTCCCTTCCATAGCTGTGAAAAGAACACGGAAACACACGCGGAATAAATTAGCAATGTTTGACGAACAGCGCGGAGTTCGGATTCTGTGTTTCTGTATCACATGTCTTCTACTTCCAAATGTACTGGCGCCACACTACACTATATTTCTGGTCAGTAATAGTTACAAAGTTTATTTGGTTAAGAATATGTAACGTTATGATGTCAGTGTCACCAAAAGTCAAACAAAACGAATTAATTTATTCTCTTAATGCAACTTTGATTAGTGGGTGTTCCGTGACAAATTTGAATATTATTTTTAAAAATACTGTATAATGAAGACATTTCTTTGTAAACAAACTTTGTAACATGTCGTTGTGAAAGAGTTTCTATTGAAAAACTTGCACCCAGATCCTACTTTGTTGTCCGTGATTAAAGATAAATCAACAGTCACTAGTATAATATACCCTTGGGTGTATTTTATTGGTTGCCCAAATCAAAAATCGATTGTGATGTCATATCACGGACATGACATTACGTCATGAATTATAGATGACACAACAAATTGACTGCCTCCGTTTGATTTTGTCCTCCACATTTTTACTTTAAACTTTTTAATCTAGAACAAAGCCTAGATACAAGATATAAAAAATTATCTTAATTTGTTTTTATTTCATACGAGATTTGATGAAACTCGTCTCAAAGTTTAAATTTTGCTCGCCAATGTTGGCAATAAAGAAAACTTCGAAGACTCATTCCATAAAATATCTTATGAAATATAAACTCGATTAATATCTTATATATATAAATGTATATCTGCTTATATATATTTACAAATTGATTTCAATTAGAACTTTTGTCACCAGTAGAACAAGGATGAGGTACGAGTTATTGCCACTTAATTACGTCTTCTCCCAATATACGTTTACATGGAAAACATTTACTATCAACGAACATGTATAAATTATCTACAATAAGTATTGCTATTCGAATATCTATAACTAGACTAAATGAAGGATTGCATGTCTGAAGATATCTGAATTAAGGTGTACGTTAGGAAGGGGATATATTTACTAATGGGTTACATGGCGAATATGTGTGATTTAAGAATATTTATTGTAAAAATCTACAAAACAGATTTGATAACACAATAGAAAATTTTTTGGACATATTTTAAATAACATCAATATTACATATATTATATGCTAGAAAAATAACGAAAACAAATAAGTAAGTAAATTCGTTAATTAAAAATGATCGTAAATTTCTATTAAGATTTGATAAGGTGAAAAAACCGAGAAATACAGCATTAGTTCACCAATTGTTATATATTTATATAATGTATAATTTTCATACAACACATGCGTATATAAAACACATTACAGACAAAACAGATTCACATTGAAATGATAAAAACTAACAGTTCTTATATTTGAAAAAATAGTATGAAAATTACTCATTCAGACAAACTCGGCACCAGAGCGATTTTTCACACCATATTTTTTATGTTTTCGTCATTATAAAATGTTGTAGATAACTGGACATGTATCTCTAGGCTGGACAACAGTGGTCATAAAATCAATCTAACATTCCCTAAGAAAATTGAAGAGATGGTAAAAATTGAGTGATACATGCGCTAGAAGATGTTCGATTGAGATAAATTGATTTGGTTATCAAAAGGATGATAGTAAAATTTGTATTTTCAATTTAGCCTGCTTATTCATTCACAAGAATAAGTTGATTTGCTCAATGCTGCAAGAATTATTTGTCATCCTTTTTCTCAAACTCCGTTCATTCAAGCATGTCTTATCGCTAATACATCAGAGGAATTGGGAAAAGTCCATTAAGGAAATCACGTGAAAATCAAAGTTACCACGTGTATATAGATTTGGGACTATATATAGAATGTTTGAGTCTATAATTTATCCAAGGAGTTATTATTAATGTATGGAAAACAAACCTGATGTAATGTTGTCACCTGTTACAACTTTTCATACACATAACCACGCTGTCCGTGTCCGGTGACAATGGCTAAAAAAGTGTTTGTATGTCACCTGTCTGTCACTCAGTACTCAGGCTGTCATCAAGTCACATTAGTGAAGAGTAACTTAGACTCTGTCAAATCACTGTCCTAGACACCAACATATTTGTGTGAACAAAAGTTTAATATTGATCAAGACTTTAAAACAATCGATTTTTGAAGTGATACACACTGCAGTTTATTCAACATACACGTTTATGGACTACATGTTATGGCTAATATGCTATATGTGGGTTAATATAATTTATTAGCGTTAAGCCTAATTAATGCATGTCACGCGCAACATGAATGCAAAATGTTATTTACACTAGAAACTTAACGGAACTGCAGTGTGTATGACATAAAAAAATATTGCAAATATATTATATATTTCATTGCATCACAAAATTCAGATTCATTTTAAATACCTTTAAGATATCGATTCCAGTTTTACCACTAACTCGCTATCGATACCGAGTCGAGTTGAATTTTGATACATAGGAGTTGTAAATTTTGTGCCAAAGCATTGGTGTCAAAATGTATTAGGCACATGACACCGATTGACCAATCAACGGCGGGCTTTTCTTTCGGGAATGTATTAGCTCTCGAAACGTGGGAGGCGAGTTTATATTACACTGTAGTAAGAAAGCGGGTGTATGGCCCGCAAGAAAATTACAAGTTTATGTGGTGAATTCGCAAAGTTTACAGCTATGTAGCAAAGGATTACATGAACGAAGATGTCGATATTTCATCCATGTGAACCTGTGGACCGGTGACCTCCTCAAATCGGCTGCAAAAGGCAGATTTTTTGTGTGTTGGGCTTATGCCCAAAACCAATATGGCGGCCGTGTTGTTGTATTTTGCCTTCACAGCGTTTGTTTTGGAAGGTCTACTCCTTCACAATGTGTCAGGGGAAAATCACATGTGTGCTTCGGCATGTTCATGTCTTCTTAATCTTGTTGATTGTTCTAAGTTGGGACTGATCGAAGTTCCCCGGGATCTACCCGTCTTCGTCACTCGATTGTAAGTATAACAACTCCTTTTCAATAACTTTTCCTAAAGCCAACAACACTGACAAACCATCCGTATGACTATTGTTATACTCTTGTATCATCACCATCATCGTCTTTATATCTCAAATGATGTTTGATATAGATTTACATTGTCTGTTGAGCTATTTGTTTCTTTGGGTATCCATAAGGTAGGTAGAAGCATACCTGTTATTTGTGTATTTGAGTTACGGGCCCTGTCGAATTCGAAATCCTACCTCGACCGTGGTATGTACACAAACTGACTACTGTTTACTTATGCCAACACAAAGTAACCGCCTCAAAAGAACTCTTTTATGTATTTTGAGTAGAAATTTTACCTGAAATTAATGTTTGTTTGGTATTGAATTACGATTTTCGTTTTGTTGAATCAAATTCCGCGTCAGATGAAGCCATGAAATCAGAAATATCGGCCTTCCTTATAGTTAACCCTATTACTGGTGGAAATGAACTTGATGTTGGCAATGGGATTGTTTCTCGTTTATTTCTTCATTTGATTATACTGTGCTTATGATCAGTGTCATATCGATTCACATTTTTCAGATGGCACTTTCATTGAAGTTTACAAATAAAATGTTAAAGCAAATTTTTGCAGCACTTGTTACAAGGAAAAGTTTGAAACATGAAAGTCTGTTATAATTTATGTGCTATTAAATTTCATTTCAAATAGACAAGGGAAAATGTTCTGCCAGTAATATAGTTAGCTATTTAGTTATATTAATGATAATGATTAACTATGTCTTTCTTGTGTGATCAGTTTTTCAATAAATTTTGACAAACTAATGGCAGCTCATTAAAGTAAATCAACTTTATTCGCTGGTTTATTTATCCTGGTTTGTTCTTGCAGAGAACTTCAGTTTAATGGAATTTCATCAATATCAACTGAAGACTTCAGAGGATTGAACAATCTGACACAACTGTAAGTTCTGAAGTTATTTTGATTCAAGAAATCACATTTATATAATTATAAGTACCATGAAAAAAATCATAATTCATCATTCCTTGTCTATTCAATTTATTTTTTTCACAAACAGCTAAAAATTGGAATAATTCATAGGTAGCATTTATGTTTATTCCAGAGTAATTTGCATGCAACTTCAATGTGCATATTTTTCTTGTTACAGAATTTGTATTTACCTGTATGTCAAATCTCAATTTATTTATTAATTACATATTGTGTTGTATTGTTTTACACCCTGCCCTATTCCTACTGTGCTCCTATCCAATGAAAGAACAAATTAAATCGGGTATCATTGTCTTAGATGACATCTTGTATCATGATTTGTTTTAACTTTGGTATGAGCAACACTAAATGATTATGTATGTTTATGTACTATAAGAGACATGTCTTTTAGATAAATTAAAATTTCAACACATGAAGTCACCTATTCAAGAGGGATGGGTGGGGGAATCATTACAGGATTATGCCACATGCTTGATGCAAAGATTTCTCTAATAAAAGTGTGAAATTTTCCTTTACTGGTTGCTAAAATATGAGACAATATTTTAAACAAATCAGAATAAAACTGAATGCATTTCCTCTAAAGAATTGTATTATACATATTTGTAAGAATCTTCTGAGGTCCTGTGTGCGTTGCAGAACGATGGATAGTTTATGTTGTTTGAACATTTTAACAATTTTATGTATTCATACACTCCACATTCATGTGGCAACTGATCATGTGGTGATTCTTAACTGGACTTGCTTTACATACCTGGAAAGAAGACAAGACAGATGGATCTGGAGATGTAACATTAGCCACGTGGTTATAACCAGCATCTCGGAGGAAATGGAGTGATGTAAAGGGAAAAAAAGTCAAGTGGAAATGTTTGGCTATTGATTCTAGTCATTGGCTGCTGGTTTATATAATGAGTGTGACAGAGGGTTTTGATAAGTGTTGTAAATGCTGTAGGAATGTAGGTACATGTATTTATACATGATACAGCTGTCAAGTTAGTTGTTAGAGAGAGAGATGAACTCTGTGATAACAGAGAGATGGTGTTTAGGAGGGGGATGAGACACACACAGGAGGGGGAGTAAACATATAGGCCACCCCACTCTGAAGAATAAACCTTCAGCTGTTTACATGCAGTCAAGAAAGATTCTTATCAAATTATTGCGAATCATAACAGTTATTGTGATGACATCCTGCGATTGTGTTACCATCTTTGTAATACAGATATTAATCAGCTGATGTTATATGTAGTACATGGTTTTTTTTTTACCCACTGTCTACTTTCTGTAGTAGTACACTACTAGATTTTTTTATTTTCGTTGTTATTTGAACTTGTTTTTTCGTCTCTGTATACTTTCATTGGGTGCTCTTTTTGTTGCCCTATTGAAACACCCATAAACATATTTGCTACAGTAAAAAGGAAAAATGATAATCGCCTAGCATAAAAGATTTCGCCTATAAACTGTCACCCAGTGCTTTTGTAGAATGAAGCGAGCTTTATGTGTGTATGTCTGTGGAGGCAGCTACAGGTTATGGTCGTAAATAACACATGCATGACTTAAAACTCCACCAAAATACCACTTGGTAGCCATTTACAGTAACATATAAAGCAGAACTAACTGGAGCAAGTGAACCTGATGAATCTATTAGAAGCACATGTAGAATCTCTCTATACCACATAGACCTGTCTGATTACTCTTGTCATATTTAATGGAAAGGTTATATATATATCAGAAACATTACCTTTTGAGTATTCATGTGTTCCAATTAAGTTGTAGTTTGTTCAGGATTTATTTTTTTTTTGTAATTGACAATCATTAACATCTGATTTTTGCTTTACACTGAGAAAATGAAATTGCAAAACGTGCAATGAAAGATTATCAGATTTATTAGCATAAAGTTACTATTAAAATAGATGGGCATTTGTGATAATTTACTGTGTTTAAATCACTGTCATACACATTGAATTGGCAGTTTGTGAAGTTTATCATTGCACGTGTGCATACATTATCTTGACTTTTTGTTAAACCATTAATATGATAAAATTACAAAGGATAAGTCGTAGATCAAACTAAATTGCCAATTATCAGAGAGCCGTATTCTGTTACTGTAAAAATATATAATGTTTGTGTCAGTTGTGAGCTATTTTACATTTTCTGTGTTATTGGAGATAGCACAGCCTTTGCCCTTTTACTACCATTTTGGGCTGGTGTTGTCAGTGCACTTTTTGTGCCCTTATATATATTCATTTGTGAGTAACAGAACTGGGAGTTATCATATTGCCACATTTTACAGAGTCAAGATATACCATATTGTGATATTGTTATTTATGTCTTGGTTTCTGTGTGTGCTTCCACCATATATTAACTTTTGAGAAGTATTCACATGCAAACACGTGAAATAATTTATGTTTATCTTCTGCATATTAATGTATATGTCCTTTCTTCCTTCTCATTTGTGCATGACTTTCTTTTAGCCATGCCATCAGTGACATATTGCACACCTGTGCTGTGACAGGGTATATAAAGCCCATTTAATAAAATCTAGGTTATCATACATTATGTAGTACATAATAATACATAGAACTACATTTCTTTCTTAGTTAATGACAATCTCTTCCGAAAAAGAAATGTTTATTTTAATATTTATTTTTAATATGCAGCGTCATGGAGCATAAAGAAATTTGTTCATTTATATATTATTAGACTCAAGATTTCATAGATTTAACGAATGCATGAGAATACTGAAAGTTTTTGATATTTTAAGTCTTTTGAGTTTCCAACATCTCATTTTTTTCACATTTTCATTTAAGGCAACAGCCTTCTTGCTAAGGAAATTAATTTTGGATAGGATAATCTTTAACTGACATCAAATGTTTGAAAATGGAAAGCATATATGTAATAACATTATGGTGACAAAATTAGAGAAAGAATTAATTAAGATAGAACCTCCAAGATTTGTCTACATAAAAAATATGAATGCTTCAGAGGTCCATGATTTTGATGGCAATTGAAGTATTTCAACTCAAGTTCTTTGGATCATCTTAAGTTTGTGGCCAGACTCTGTTACATTAATTTAGAAAAAAAACCCATGTCAAATTGAATAGTTACAAACAGTGTAAAGTTCTCAAAAACAGTTGATTCCTAATAATTGTGTCAATATTCGTAAACATTTTCATGAGATCGGTACAACATGAAGTTCAATATTCAAAATGAAAAAAAAAGAAATAGATTTCCATTGGCCAACTATACCAGAGCATAATTGGGGATCATGGTATTATACAACAGAAAAAATGTTAAATTCCTCGCTGTTGATGACCGTCCTTCCTTATCACAGTCTGTCAACTGCCTGTTAACAAGTTACATTCTTGTAAAAATACAAGTAAAAACTCATGTCAGATCTAAATTAAAATCTAGTAAATATTCTGTTAAATTCTACCCATGACTTTTGTTTGTTGATACAGGAAAATAATGATACAAGAAGTCTGATCTGTACACTATAATGTAATAAATGCTTTCATCATGATTATGTCTCAAGAATTCTGCTTCATGGTTTCATTATTTCTTCGTTTTAACAAGAAAGGAGTCATGATTTTTTTTGGTAAGTTCATAGGTGTATGGTTCAAGTAAATTGTATTTGTTAAGGTCTGTGAGATGACTCAAAAACATTAAACTTATTTGTGATTGAATACTTAATTACTTCACTTTCATGTTTATAATTTACCATTAGTATGATAAAACTTAGCATATAGATTTTGAAGGACATTGCTGTTAGCGTGTGTGAAATGCAAATATTTTGAAGATTATTTTTCAAAGTATAGATTTAAGTTGGGACTAGATGTGTGTAAGCTGGTAGCATGTGGTGTTGGGAGGTATATATATGTATACAATGTAGGTAGATTTATATAGGTCACACTATCCATATCACCAGGTGCGCGTTATCAGCCCTACAACTCACACCAAATCTTGTTTCATCTGTTTCCTTTTCCCAACAGGAAACGTGTAGAAACTGCTGTAAACTGGAATCATGTTCAACTTTCAAATTTTGATATACTGCTGTGTTATATACGCCCAAAAAGAACTTATTTACGTCAATGTTAAAAAAATTATAGTCATTTTTTTTTATATAGTACACATGTATAATAATGTAGAAAATTAAATTTGATGTGTTAAGCTGCCACAAAAAGTGGATGAAAATTTATTTGATCTGTAACATAATTATGTTATGTGCTAATTGAATTGATGTATGCATGTTAAATATGATAAATTTACAAGTGTACTGTGTTCAAATTAAACTACATCATGTTAATGTTTTTATAAAACACATTTTAACACGTTCACAGAAATGAAGCTTACATGTACACCATACTTAATTATCTAATCATTTACTTGGCTATAAAGCAGATTTTGAAAAATTTTACCGTCCCGGTCTTTGTTTTCATATTTTAAACTAGGTTTTCTTGAGCTCTCACAAAAATGTACGTGTTATTTAGTTCTTTTAGCTTTCTAGATTTATGTGCACTCTTGTTGTATATGGTCACAGAAGTATAGTATCTAATTATTGTAAGAAAATTGAGTGACACTGTCAGATTTTATTATTGGCGTACCTGGTTAACACCTGTGAAGTTTTTTGTCACTTTTTAGGTTGAGTGTGTTTCAAGACCTTGGCGTCACACCAACAGATCTCCTAATGATAACTGTTTTTATGATTACTATCAATTTTGGATACTTATCTATGTGTGAGATAATCATGGGACAAAGCCTTGTGGCCCTCCTAGGCCTGTCATGGCGTGATTAGGACACCAGTCGTGAGGTGACAACTAGATACAAAAATATCAATTGTAATTTATTTCATTTATAGAATTAATAACTGTAGTAACCTTGTAAAGAAATCCAAAATAGAAATTCCTAAATCAGTACTCACTGTATTCAGAAGCGTTGTTTATTGTTTATATGAAATTATT